ACACTTCTATTAGTATTAAAGTAAATACAATAATTCTACTCATACTTTCAATGTGATACTTCCGCCTGCGTAGCTGCACGCAGGCGACTGATCCGTAGTGGAATCGTTGACAATGTAAGTCTCATTTCTTCATTGATGGATTTGAGCCGCTCCCTCTTTGATGTCTTAATTTCAGTTAACGTCGAGAAGCCCAGTTCACACAAATATGTAGTTGAAAATGGCAATAACACATTAAGTGCCATCTCAGAGATAGCCGGGTATCCACTCCTTATTGCCAACCAAAACGTTGGCACTTCGAGAAGTTTTAGTTTAAATATTCTGTCCGCTTTTAAATCTGCGAGTTCCTCTTGTATATTAATCGGAAGATGTTCTGAATTCACAACAAATGGATCACGAACCCAGTCGAAATGTTGTACACTCTCTCCAAATACTTATTGAATTTCTGCTGCAGCATTTCTAAATGTTCCTTGATTGTGTCCATCACCACTTTATTGCTGTCACCAAGTGGCCATACAGTCGGGGACATCTCAAACGACCCATCTGTAATTCTCTGACTAGCAACCAAAATTTGCGAACTACTTCAGAACACAGCTGTGATAGAACTGAAACAACTGTAAAACGCGGGATCTCTACTCTTCAGACGGAAGACGTGACACTATACCGACTTATTTTTGAAATATTTATAATTTTAAATGAAGTCCAACAATCCGTGGGTGCATCGTTACAGGAAGAAAGTCATAAAGTTGAAGAAGCTCTAACTTCTAACAAACAGGGGCAAATACCAAAACAGCGTTTTGGTATTTGCAGTTTTAGAGAAAAGCACGTACACAGAACATGCGGCAAGCATATCAAAGAAGCTGCGTAGATGCGAGAAAAATAAAAATAAATCAGTAATGAAAACTATGATATAACAACAAATGTGAGTAAATAATTTACGTTTAATTTCTTAGAATACAACATTACTGTACATAAAGATCATGGCAAGAAATAAAAAATAAACAGGCATCATCATAATTAATCAGTGCAGTGGCTGAGAATAAAATACAAGCATATGAAATACGGTAACTGGGATAAAATAGAACGAATAAAATTCGACAATTAATTTCTTACAATTGGTAAAAGTTCGCGTCACAACTTTCTCCTTGTGTCGACACACCGGTTGCGGAACACTGATATAGCTCAATATGCAATTTTCTCCAAAATCCCATTATGTCATCCCTCTTTGGTTTACATATTTTTCTTAGCACTCTCTTTTCAAATACCCTCAGTCTATGTTGTTCCTTTAGTGTGAGACCAAGTTTCACACCCATAAAAACGACAGAAACTTGTATTTCTCTATGTTTAATGTTTTACGTTTTTAGACATCAGACGGGAGCGGTGCTTAACTGAACGAATGCAGGCGAGCATTACCCGAATTCAATCTGCTCGTATTTCTTACGCTCAGCATTCTGCTGCTTGTTTTCCATGGCACGAAGCACGTGAATTCGGATGAAGTTTATGAAGTGTATTTTGCAGGTTACTTCATGTGACCGGACACTCATTTCCATTCAATCAATGCAACCAGCCTCGTGTAATGTATGCATGTAATTGAATCCAATGACCTAGTTTCCATTGGTCAGAAATACACGTGAAAGAGACAGGCGTGCATTCGACACGTCCCGGAGCTTTAGAATTGATAATTGGGAGAATTAACATTGAAATTATAAATGTCTTTGTAGTTTATGAAGGTAACATAAATGTCAAGGCATTTATCTTATAGGCTATAACACCGTGTGAACCGTTGAAATAAAACCGATTCTTAGGAGGAATTTGTCCTCATATTCATGGTCGAAGAACAAACCCTAACCATCAGCAGCAACCCATGCTTATTTTTCTGCTCTCGCTCTCACTTTGCAGCATAGGGCTGCTCTCTCAGTTTCACTGATCATTTTTACAGACGGTAGGTCTCCTTGGACCAGTGATCAGCTCGTCGCAAGGCCTCTACCTAAACACAGGACAACACAAACACAGAATACACACACACTAAACATCCATGTCTTGTGTGGGATTCGAACCCATGATCCCTGCTTCCGAGTGAGTGAAGACAGTACATGCCTTAGGCCGCTAGGTTACCGTGACCGGCAGCATAGGCATAGGCATTTATACGTATAAACCTTTGAGTCTTGCTATAACGGACGAACTAAAGTAAATAAGGAAGAATATGAGATGTAAACATGCTGAGGCCGGTCACGTTAGCCGAGCGGTCTAAGACATGCATTGTCTTCGCTCGCTTGGACACCGGGATCTTGGGTTCGAATCCCATTCAGGCCGTAGATGTTTAGTTTGTGTGTGTGCGTTTTTCTGTGTTTGTGTACAGGTAGAGGCCTTGCGACGAGCTGATCACCCGCCCAAGGAGACCTACCGAATGTGTAAGATCTAGAAAAACCGAAGAGAACGGAGAAGTTCATGGAGGTAGGCCTAGGCCCACTGGGGCTGTAGTGCCAAGGAGGAAAGAAAAAAAAAACATGCTGAGACCACTAATTACTCTATGTTTTGGAGGCAATAGTACAAGGAATATAATTTCCTCTTCTAGTCTATCCTGTAAATTGATAGTCAACGAACAAGTAATACATTTGTACTGGAGCCTCCCTGTTTCCGTAAAACTTCCATTAGAGCTCTATGAGAAGTTACAGCCAGATCACGCATCAAATAGGCCTGGTTCCTCCATGTACATTTTTACTCTGGTTGGAAGTAGTGAAGAGAAAGCGCAGTGCACATGGTACTAGATATATGGCCTTAGCTAGCACATGACGGTCATCTGATCTGTATCTACACTCCATATTTTGGAAATGGAGGTGCATGAACTACATGGCGGAATGACAACAATATATCAATCGGTGTCCTTATTATGATGCAAGTTTTCTCAAAATCGCTCAGTGCCGTGAAAATACCAGGTATTTTCTGGATAATGGATATTTGTTGGAGACAGATTTCTCTCAGGCGATACTTGGCAACATAGTCCAAAAATGTATTTAATGCAAGTGAAACATGATACTTAGTTACTTATAAACGCTAAAGTACCAAATTTAATAAAAATTTGCAATATCGCTGATGTTTGCCATAGCCAAGTGAAAGTGTATGCACGGTAGCCAATACATGCAATGAACACAAACAGATATTGTGATCACATAAATATTTCCATATTGGGATTCTTTTAACCTTAAATTTGTTTTCTAAGTGTAGAAACCTTCTTAGAACCTCAGCACCTCTAGAAGTTCACAATTTTATATAGACAGATTTTGTCGCAAATCCTTTGTATCCGGGACCGTTATAATTAGGGTTTACTGTACAGTGAGAATAATATTGTAATCGGCAATTGACAATGGACCTTATAACATCTAGTTACCTGTAAATCTACCGACCAATCCCACAGTAATCCCAGCAAGCTTACTGACTCAGCCATGCATCCATGTATGAATCCTCATGCATCCATAAATACATCTATATTTGTCTACTCATCTCACTTCTCCTGACGGCCTCTGTGAACTTTGTTTTTGCTGATGATCATTCCCTTGTGTGACGAATTTTCTGAGTCAAGCAATTATTCCTACATATATTTTTTACAATTTTTTCGTTGAAAGCAAAGAATGTAAAGTTACTGCCTGTTTCTTAGGTCCAGTCTTCAGGAATTACTTCAGCACGTTTAATTATTTTTACATTCAACCTTTGTATCTAATTACTTGCAATATCGAACAAGATAATTTTGATGCCATTAAAACAGACACGATATATGTATATTAATAACCACTGCCGGGTTTTCTACTTCCACATAGTCTACATTTGTGTAAAAATTAAAGCTATCCCTGTAAGATGCCGTGGAGGACCATAGAGTTGTAAGATGTTGAGGTTCCCGCATTTTCTAAACAGTCGTCTCACAGATGTCTGTGATGTCAGCCTTGCGTTCCGGTCGCGTTTTATCCCCAGGAAGATTCCTGGTACTCATTTCTGTTAGAGGCTGAGTTGACCCCAGCCCGGAAGGATTAGGTCAACTGAAGAATCCAGTGACCTTATCGGGACTCTAACCCGGCCTGTAGCACAGTGCTTCAAAAACTACGCAAGAGCGTGCCCCTCAACCTCTGTGTAGACAGGTGTAATTATATCAGTGATTTAGTGGAATACTAAGTAAATCGTGCAAGTGTAACATTTTTACTCTTCGTGGACTGATTACATTTGTGTTGAAATCTGAATAGCTCCTGATAAAAATGCATGCAATTTATTAACTGGAGCTGTATAACTCTCCACGCCAGCAATAGGCAACCCTGTACGTCACTAACGCGCCGAATCATATTATATTCGTACCCATGTGAACACAATATGTCTGCATTTCAAATGTTTACTTGGCAATATATTGGCGATGTCTGTCGATTTTAGTGGTTGTTTATAGGCACAATGGGCTCTTTTATAGGCCTTACCACATACAGTACAGTGACATAAATGCCTAAAGGCCTATTTTCGTAGTAAATACGGACTGATATGTATGTATGTACACACCATTTATGTAATTCTGTCAAACAAAACAGTGCTGATAATTCCCTCATTCGATTCGCGCTCCACGAATAGTTCATTTTGTGCTTTTATATGAATAGGCTTACATGGGCGTCTGTGAGGCCTCTGAATTGCCAACAGCTTTTTCACAAATTATACTTGAAACTTCTGATGAAATATTAAATGTCCCTACCATAAATTACGTCATAGTCGTATACTAGCTGAACATAAACATATCCCTTTGAATGCGGTATATTTTTTATCTGGAAGTACTGCCATACTAATAGAACCTAACCTTCGGCTTTCTCTACCTGAAAATATACATACATCATGTTGGATATTATCCAATTGATATACTTATGAGGCGATGGCTGTATTTCCGTGTTAAGGCGTCTGGTTGTCGCTATATTGACACTATATTTAACTTTATTAATTGTGTGCTGGTCCCTGTGCCCCCATTTTAATCTTGAACTAATTGGTCGATTTTCAGGAAACTTAATACGAAAGTTATGACCTTTCAGATCACTCCAGTGTCATATTTTCCGATTTCCTGTAATCATTAATAACATGGCGAACGCGAAAATTGTGAAGTGCTAGCGACAACAGCTGCAATGAATTGAGGGTCCTGAAATTCTGAATGGTAATAGATCTTTGAAAAAATATGTAACTTCATATATTTTTTATGGAATTTGAAATTACAGTATTGCGGTTGTGCGATAATTCTCGTCCCCTTTCTGTTCGGTGCCCATAACGGATGCACGTGAAACTCAGTACCAAAACCATGAACATGTCTGCAAATGTTACACGAAATATTGTCTGTAAGACAACAGTTCCTTGTGGTTTAATCCGAGAAATATTGGGCCTGCATAGACGGAATATGTACTTGAGTAATAATCTTATGTAATTGAAGTTAGTTTCGACAAAATTCATAACTTATGGAACACTTAACCTGCAACATAAAAAGACATGAAAATATAATTGTCATTTACTTCTATATTTCTTGCACAGTAGTGTTGCTTTGGGTTACTTTGTGTTGTTGCGCTGTGTAAAAAGAAGGATTGACTCATAACCTATTTTTAAGAACACAAGGGAATAGTTTGATCACTTTGTTTACCCTGGCCAAGGGAATAATTTGATTGGCTCTTTTCCCTTGACAAACATCATTCACTCCCCTGTTACTGCATACACATCCATCATAATCATCATTTTCATCAAACTCTAAGGCAGTTGAAACAGCAGGACAGATTTACCTTACGCCAGTCACTGTAAACATTCGTTACTCGTTTTGAAACGAGGTGACGGTCTTACGGTCTTCCGTCCACAGGAAAGCCCGACGCCCCACGGACATGCATGATGGTGAACAGGACCTCAACTGCCGTTCAAGTGAACTGTGAGAAGGGCTTCGACGGCGGTCTGCCTCAGGAGTTCACCATGGAGCTGTACTCCGCGGCGCGCAACGTTGCTTCCAATGGGCATCATCGGATTGTGTCCAACATCACGAGTCGCTCTAAGCCGGAATTCACTGTGACAGGACTTGAACCCGGAGCAGGATACTTTGTCTCCGTGTACTCCAGTAATGGTAAAGGTCGCAGCACTGCTTTCACACTCTCCGTGTCGACACTTAAATCAACTCTTCAGGAGCACCGCAGAACCACAGGTGGGTGTAATGCCTCTCTGTGTGTTAATCCGTGTAACCCAGCTGTTTAAGGCACACTGTCTTAGTAGGATGGAACACCGAATAAGCTCAGGATGTGGCAGTTGGGCATTGGTATCGCTGTAAATCCACGTTGTTTGCAGGATCTCTTAGGCACTAAGAAGTAATATGGCCTTGCAGTTTTGGGAGCGATATCCAGGATTAAGTTCATAACTTGTATTCTTCTCCAAGTATAATTAGAATGATGCAGTCAAGGAGGATGAGGTGGGCAGGGCATGTAGCACGACTGGAGTAGAAGATGAATGCATAGAAGATATTGGTGGGAAAGCCAGAAGGAAAGATACCACTGGGAAGACCAAGGCGCAGGTGGATGTACGATATTTAAATGGATCTTACAGAGATAGGATGGGATGGTATGAATTGGATTGATGTTGCTCCGGATAGGGACAAGTTCCTGTGAACATAGTACTAAACCTTCGGGTTCCATAAAATGCTGGGATATTCTTGAGTAGCTGCAGAATTGGCGGCTTCTCAAGAAGGGCTCAGCTCCATGAGTGAGTGATCCAGGAATGAGCCAACTCGTTAATTCGTGAAGAAGCGTCATGTTGAGCGGGGAAGTGTGAAGCAGTGTGCAATATACATATATTCGTAACACTGTATTTATGATACTGCTCATTCCATTCCATTGGATTTGATTTTATTTGATTTTGTATCTAAACTTTTAGTGGAAGAACATATAATTTCTCTTCTTGTAATTTAATATGTAAGCCCACAGTTTTAAATCCTATATAGGATATCTCAGCAAAAGAAGTCGAATTACTTTACTTCCGTATTCTTTATTGTTGTAACATTTATATGTTTCACGTAGACCGCACTTTTATTCAATCGCATTAGCTTTCATTACTTTTTCAATCAAATTTGTTTCAATTACCAGAATCAATGTGTTCTTGAACAACAAATTTAAAAACATGTGACTTTTTTTACGGACGAAAATTAAATTCGGTAAACAGTGTGTAAGCCGGTCACTGTAGCCGAGCGGTCTAAGGCATGCACTGTCTTCGCTCACTCGGAAGCCGGGATCGTGGGTTCGAATCCAATTCAGGGCATGGATGTTTGTGTGCATTTTTCTGTGTTTGTGTACAGGTAGAGGCTCTGCGACGAGCTGATCACCCGCCCAAGGTGTCCTACCGAATGTGTAAGATCAAGGAAAACCTAAGTGAACGGAGTTCATGGAGGTAGGCCTAGGCCCACTGGGGCTGTAGTGCCAAGGAAAAAAAAACAGTGTGTAATGTAGAATATCCAGCGTCAAAGTTAATTAACCTCCGTTAAGCACTTTTCGAGATGTCACACACAGGGAAATGACCTCCATATCGTGTGTTAATTTTATACAATTCATGCAAAGAATACGCTAAAAGCGGTACACATGTTTACAGATTGTCTCCCCCTCTATATTCAGAAGCAAACATCTCTCTCCCCTCGACTTCCGACCAAATTCGAAAGATTCGAAAGGAAAGCAGTTGTAGTTTCTTCCGGTATGATGGCTATTTCTTCGCAGTTTGAAGCTAATTTAAATAAAAGTACGAGTATATAGCAGAGGTAGCAGAATGAAGGCGTCGGTTATACGTTGAGTTTTTATTATTATTGTGCATACAAACTTTTACTGCTTTGACTGGTAACTTTATTACGTATCCTTCTAGGAATATGAAATACCGAACCGTTATTTTATGAAGAGAACTCGGGAAACTCTGGGACTGAGTGAACAGAGCAGTGCAAGAATCCAGACTGTGGTTGGCAGTGGGGGAGTGTGACAATCGCGTGACTTCAAGTATAAAGCGAGAGCCGAAGCATTAAAGAGCCATTTAACTTGATGTAGACCACGCGCTGCTTTCGTATTAATTCTAGGAACTGCCCCCGATTGAACGTTACAGTATGATACAAAATTCAGAACTTAAAATTTCAGAGTTTTTGTCCTCCGAACCATGAAATCATTGTGACGATTTTCAGGGTGGTCTGAACTGGTCTGGTCAGGTCAATTTAACTGTCAAATCGAAGTCAAAGTCACATTGTGACTGACGGTCAGTCAGTCAGTCAGCTCCATTTGGGGCTTATGACAAGATATTTATTACTGTTTGACAGTTACAGTTTTATTATTGTGGGGTGCCCTCTCTGACGAATGTTATTGGCTTCTCACTATATAGACTCGGATCGGACCTCAGAGAATACACGTTTGTTATCCAGCAATGTTTATATGCGAACCACATAGAAATCACCGCTTCCTCTGTTGTTGTATTTACAGTGTCGTTGCGTAGAAACGGAAGTTATCCGATTGCTACCTGCTTATTCGTTGCAGAGGCAATGTGTTCACGGAGTCGTTGCCTAGAAATGAGTCTAAATGTCATAATATCGTACTTATTCACTAACCATTTTTCAAAATAATGTTTCACCGTTGCTTTAACTTTCACAAATTGTTTAATATTATTAGCGGTGTACACGGCAGACAAACACATATTTAGAAATATGTAAAAGAATAAGAAGTTTATAAAAATTAAGCATATTCATACACAATATATTTCCTCCAATGGAAGACAGCTAAGCGCAGAATGCAACACGCAAAACAACATCACACTTAGCTCTACCTGTGAATTTGTCTGCTGTTTCAATACTCATCAGGATACGCGTAACTTTAATATATATTCCAATACATCTCCAGGCTCTCTTCCTAGAAGGCATTTTAAGCCTACAAATAATAACGTAAATTAAAAAGGAAATATTCAGTTTGTTTCTTAACGAAAAATAATTTTCAGCTATTTTGAAAATATTCCATAATTCTCGCGTGATTGCATGCACGGAGGATAAAGTACGTGACTTTTTGGCTCCACAAACATTTCCCATTAATCAGTTCGTAAGCCTACAATACGTTGTATGTTATAGCCATTGATCACATTTTATCACTGATTGCATTTCTGATATGCTGAACCATTAATGTACAACTTACATGAATATGATAAGGTTAGGTGAATTTAAAGCAACTTTTTTGTCTTGCTAATGGCTCTGATTTCAGCACGTTCCGTTAGAAAATTTAATTTCATAGTAGGTCAAGGTCATTTGATAAATATTTATACTTGTTTTAATACCTCATAACGATTTGTAATAAAATTACTATTACGGCACGTCTGTTGTATAATAGAACATACAAAGTTTTGTTAATTAATCTCCGCCTATTCACAATTCAAAACGCCATAAGCAGCAGCTGTTTCTGAGAATAAAGGAACTTGTATATGGCATGGTCAGAACCTTCTGTGTTCACATAAATACAGATATAGGTTATGTATATGCATGGAAAGAAATATGAGATACTAGAAAATTTATAGCGCAGTTAGGAAACCGAAGTGAGAAGCTACTGAGACCGCTACCTACACACAGGCAACACAGACATCCATGCCTTGGGTGGGATTCGAACCCACGACCCCAGCGTTCGAGCTATCGAAGACAATTCCGCGCGGCCACTGTGATCAGTATTTTTACTATTCACCTATGCATATTGTTTCTGTATTCTCTTCTCTGTTTATCTTGTTCATCTCATGAATTCCTTTCTCTCTGTTCCTCTTCGTTCCTTTCATCCCTGTTGTTCCACAAGTTATCATTGTCTTTATACAACGCAGTTCAGTCCTTGGACATTTGTCCACTATGTTTTTGTAACATTAGCCTTTTCCTCTGAAGTTTATTGTCTACATAAGTTTTAGCGTGTCATGAATTATAGATTTTGATAATTATTAAACAGGAAGAACAATTCTATCAAGCCTTAATATTGTAACGTATTTCGTTACCGAAGACGCCGTAGAGATGGTTAATTGGGTTTATTTAACAATCTACAAATAACGGCTATAATTAATGATCACAATATTACGGGTTTCCACACTTTACAAACCCTACAACAAAATCTCTTAACACAATCTTCACCTGTCTTCACGTACTACTAACGCGGGAGCTGTACAAGTCTCCCTTAAATGCACACTCCGGGTATAACCGTACTACAGCACTCACTATGTCTGGAAAGCACACAATAAGTCTTCCGCTCGCTGACTTCTTAGTTATCGCACACTCGCAGGCTGCTGTGTTTCAACTGATGATCACACTGCTGTGGAGTCTGCTTATATAGCCTTGCGCTGTTGCTAGTGTGACGTGGCGTATAGCCTAGGACGCTGTTGCTAGTGTGACGTCACCGCTGTTGATTAGCATTGCGTAGTTGCCAGGTTACGGGGCTCGGCTATCTTCGGCTCCGCTCGGCTCTCTTCGGCTCCGCTCGTGACGTCACCGCGCGTTGCGAATTGCGGGGTGATTACTCGCGTATTACGCGAGCGCTCAGTTACCGCTGAGGGGTGGGAGGGGAGCGCTGGCTCACCCGCCGCGTCACTGCTGGTGTGGGGGGGGCTCGGATTTCGCAACATGTCACAATATCTTATACCGGTCTACATCTAGTTATTTATGTTGTGCTTCATTCTACCCCGCTGTCAGCAACTGGTATGTATACAGACGGATTGTATGGTGGAAGTAGACGGTCAGCTGAAATGAAGTCCCTGCTTAAAGTGAAAGAATACATACTATATTTAAAATTTTAAATGAAAAAATAATAAGGGAAGATTTGGAGTTAAATCAATTATTCATTAAGTGGAGAAAGCACGTATAAAGAATGGAGAAACATAGATTACCAAGAATAGCATGGAAATATCAACCAAGAGAAAGAAGAAGAATGGGTAGACCAAGAATTCGGTGGAATATTGAGTCCGAAAGGGCTATGGAGCCTGGAACGTAGTAGGATGATTGCTGAATAATAACTCAAAAAGTATTAGGAAAGAAGGTTTAGTAGTTAGTCGAGGTATTCTACTGTCATTTGCCTGGAGAAACTGAGAAAAATAAGAAATAAGTGAGGATAAGTGTCGCGGCCGGATTTCGAACTGAAAATCTCCGGAATACATGTCCAGAACGTCCTACTCGACACCAACCTCCACGATCCCTCCCAGCTGAGTAGCGCTGCCTTTCTTGCATTATATTTTTTATTGCTAGTAGGGTGGGACTAGGTCCCTTGTACTGCAGCCACTTCTGGCCTATTGTACCAGCCCCAGATGATAGGTGAGGGTCATTATGGAGCAACTGGTGGAATGAAGATTGGCAGGGGAAACCGAAGTACTTGGAGAAAACCTGCCCCAATGCCACTTTGTCCACCACAAATCCCACTTGACCAAACCTGGGATCGAACCTGGGCCGCCGCGGTGGGAAGCCAGCGACTAACCGCTTGAGCAATGGCGCGGCCTTTTCTTGTATTAAGTACAACGTATCAGTGAATAAGGCCCTTAGATTTTATTATCGCATTTTCTTACGTACTGAAAGAGCGTATAGACCAATGCAAACCCTGTGTCACCTACCAGAACTGAAAGTTCTCTTGTAAGAATTGGACCTGGAAATTAGCATTATTAAAATGCATAAAACACACCATTATGGAATAAAACAAAGAGAGAAGTACAGCTAGAATTTAATAAAGCTTTGATATCAGCATATGTGCATGAAACATAGGTTCTGTCACATTCATCACCACGCCTCTGTTTTCTTGATTACATGGTTTGTCGGACACCTTACCAAGAAAACAAAAAATTAAAATTTTGTAACACTTTGAACCACTAGGCCTAATCCCAGGGCGTAGAGATTTATCACATATGTAATATTATATGTGATGTATTGTGTAAAGAGTCCTCGAGTTGTAGGATCACTCGACCCAGGCTGTAGAGATATCTTTTCTTACGGACATTCTGGTATGTACACTAAATAGTGGCAGTTATTTTAGTTGGCCGAGCGTATTACCAAGTTAGGTAAGCTTTCTTGACCACATATCTTTATCGAAATAAAACTGTAAATGACCAGTTAATTTCTTACTTTTGTAGTAAACCAAATTAAGAATACGCAATGAATAAAAGTCACAAAATGTTTAAGAACCAAATAATATAACAGATATTTATTGATTAATTATTGTACATTAACTTTTTGTGAGTAAAATTATACGAGTCAGTTACTTATTGCACACTTCAGGATATGCTTAAAGTGCTCATGGACACGTCAAATTAATTTAAGTAATGCAAAAACGGCAGTATGAATGTGCGGCTTATGGAAGTTTGGAATTTCCTCCTTTGTTGCAGTTCTTAACATTGTTCCAAGTTTATCATCGGTCACTGCAAATCTGAGGTTTGTTTTATGCAATTTTATTAAAGAAAATTCTGTTTGTAGTGACACGGACTGAGTGCAAGGGTCACCCTCCCCGTGTTCCGTGATTATCACCATCGAAGTTTCCAGTCTTCCGCTTCCTTTCTCTGGTTCTTCTAAAAACGAGAAGCGCCTGGTCCACTCGCTAAGGCGCGAGCCCATTCTAGAAAGCTTAGGTAAATAAGACAGTAGCCACTGGTCCGAGTGCAGCGTTTTTGTGTGGCGAGGGAACGAGTGCAAGAAGAGAGTGCAGAGATGTTTAGTGAGGTAGTAGAAAACTTAAAAAATTGAGGTCAACATTGTAACAGACTCTAAATTTCTGATCCAGAGCAAGACAAACATTTTAATGTATTGAGCAAAATAACACTAGCACTTTTCAAACACCGACTTCGATCGAAATAATTTTTAAGAATTATTTCCCTGCCTTTCAGATAGCACACTATGTCCCAATTAAAACCGCCAGCTTGCCAAAACTATATACAGAAAAATATATGTTTATTTAGGGAATAATATAGAGCCCATATACATTTATATATATATATCCTTTGTAAAGGGTGCAGAATTATTTTGTATTACAGCTGGTGGTGCTTCTAATTATTACTGTGTCATGAATTATCAAATTCCATTTTATTAAGAAAGCATAAAACATTGTGCTTCTAACTGGAATTATTAAAAAAGCAATAAATCTTGTTGCAAGTCCTTAAACTCAAATTGTGATCAATTGTAATCCTAGGAGCATCAGAATAAACAGGAGAAGTAACCAGCATAAAGTGGTTTTTATTAATTTGAAATCTTGGGGTTTCCTTCCGGCGATTTGAACGTGTTTTCGGGCCGACCGTTTCGCACCCTCTTCACTTTCATTTTCTGTTTCGTGTGTGTGTGTGGGGCGATGTGAGACCGTTATTGCGATTTATATTCCAGTCGATTCTGCATAGGGGAGACACTCACAGAGCCTCTCCGCGATCAAACTGGTTCATAGTAGAGATGTAAGACATCAGAAAAGAAAGTGGGAGGGTTACTCATGATTTGGAGAGTACCAGAGGTCCCCCTTGCAGTTAATGATGATATAATAGATCTAAGGAACGTCAATTTTGTGGAACTGAGTGCTAATGCACTGATGTGTGGCAGTGGCCACTTCTTTCCCAGCATTCCCACAGGTCACTCCCGTTCTGTGGGTGCTGGCGGGTATAGTGGTCACGCTTGGAGTAGTAGGGCTGGCAGCAGTGATCACACTCCGAGTTCGAGGCGGTATGTGTGGTGACTGTTTCGACCAGGAAGACGACGACCGGCACACAAGCACAGGCTCGCCAGAGTCCCTGGCAGAGGCAGGAGCAAAAGGAACAACTGCCAACACAGGAAATTTGCTCACTGTTTCCCTACAAGGCGTCAAGGGCCCCGTCCTGGTAACGGCGGAAGAAATGGACGACAGAAATCCCGACGTTATACCGCACACGACAGGTATGTCTCGAAGCGATGGATGCATTTATTCAGTAGGATGTACACCGTACTGCCTCTTTGATAGAATAGTTCCATAACTGGGGGCGTAAACGATGGATTGCATCTGTTTGTAACTTCATCCCCAAGCAGAATAAAAAAAAAATCATGTATCAGTGCAATTGCATGTTGGAGGGTTTATATAACAAGCTGACGGTCGAATTTCATTTCAGTACTTATAAGTTCAATACGGTTTCAATTTCATTTAGTTCCAACTCAGACTGCAGAATTGCTCTACAAAAAAAAACTCAATGTACAGATAAATTGTTAAAAATACAGACTTCAGACGTAATTGGAATCTAGGCAAATAATATTACACTTCAGCCTTTGTCGATGTAGATAATACGTAATGAACTACAAGATAAAAATATATTATAACTGCTTGGGTTGTGAGTAGTTTTGTGACAATATACAAGTCTCCGCAAAAAAACAAATATTTGCAGTGATATTGAAAATTACAAAGGACTCTTTTTGTATGTATGTATACTGTAAACTAACACTAGACCTTTGCATATTGGTTTGTGTCCATGCATTAAAATTATGCAAGAGGGAGAACAGAAATGGATTTATTTAATTTATATGTATTTATTTTATATACATATTTTACTTCTTCAAGGACGCTGTCAATATTGAGCCTAACTAAATAGCATAGAATGAGTGGACGATAGTGAGTAATTGATCTGAAAAACTGTGAAAGAAATTGTTCATGTCATGATTTCAGACAGTGTCCAGGCGTTTGCCTGAAGGGACTGAGGAAACCCGAAAAACTCAGGTTAGGATTGTAGGTGTCTAGGCATTTATGCAGACGTGTCTCCTTTAGAATGCAAGTTATAAGCCAGAGTCAGCTTGTTGTGTACTGAAGCAAATGGAGCACAGAGAGACAACCCTGTTCTATATTTAGCAGTTTACACTGTATCCTCGTTGGTTAATCTTAATCCCAGTAAATATCGGGCATCAGAAGTTGCTTAGTTTTGTCGTATGGTAAATTTGTGCCAAGATTAAATTATCATCACCAGATTTTAGAGAAATTTGAAGTTTTAATAGTAATTACATATGTTTTAACCGTCCTCCCTTGAGGCTTCTTGCCCACAAGTTAGTTGCCACCTTCTCTTACCGTCCGTCTTGTTCGCCTTGCGTTCGGCGTCACTTTGACTGCCCTACCTGGTGCTGCCTCCGTTGAAGTTGTTGGGGCGTGGCTGGTTCCGACTTGACCAGGCTCCACCGCTTCTTCCGGCTCCACCACTTCCTCCTTCCGTTGCTGATTACGGAGGTTGGAATTTCAGGATAGAACCTGATGTTATGGGCCCCAGCAAACAGCTAGGTGCGGTTCGCGATTCATTATAAAGGAGGGAAGGCGTGAGTGGGTGGAAGCTGGCGATGGGTTTGACTAGCTCCTGGCGATGAGTCTCTCCTCAGGTCGGCTAAGGGTCAGGCTCGGACAAGTGAGGGTGAAGCACTTCTAACCAACACAGTGCACTGTACCACTGGAACACTTTATTGTTTTCTTACAGTCACTCGGAGGTATAAATCCGCACTATCAGGCCTAGTTTCGGCTTCCAAGCAGCCGGTGTTGCACTTGCTCAAATTATTTAGCTTAACACTCAAGTATAATCGCGGGATTTACCTCCGCCAAGTTCGAAAGTTTGTAGCAGATTCCTAATCTTAAAACTGGACTCTCTGCCGAGCCAGAGGTCCTAACTGAATTGTATCCGCCTCTTCTCTCCTCCTCCTAAATTCCCGGATAGGCTGATTCAGATAAGAGGAGTTGGCTTAATTTTTGGTTCCGGCCAATGACCGATTTTTTTAGAAGTAGTTTCGGCCTAAAATCCCAAGCGGCGAAATTGACAGCCATGCAACTTATGAGGGGTCGCTAATGATCTCCTNCAATGTATGACCTGATTTTACAATATTCTTATTCTTGGCAATTCCTATATGTTATTTTGAATTACTTATTATCATACTTTTATTTTTAAAATATTTTACGACTTCAAACAAACTTCCAATAAAATCTTCACCTAGAAATTTGAATGTAACATTTTAATGTCTGTGCTATTTCGGAATTAATCAGTTCTGAAATTGAAATCTTATACATAGTCGGTAGAACTCCTCAGACGGGTGATAAGCACGTCGCAAGGCCGCTACCTACACACTGTACAACACAAACAGAATAAAGGTGGACAGACATCCATGTCTCGAGTGGGGTTCGGACCCATGTTCCCGGAGTTTGAGTAGGCGAAGATATTTCATACCATAGATCGCGTGGTCATTGTGATCCGCACTTTCATCATCTAATGCAGTCAAACTCTCTTCTTGAAATGAGTGCAAACTCACTGGATGCGACTGCAAACTGAAGAACTTAACATGTCTGTGAGATGTCTTCTCCTTTGATTTAAACACAGAAAACATAAAGTGTAATGATTACGATATACACCAACGAAAATATTTTTATCAGTTACTTGAATGTGGGCAGTTCCCACACAGCTCTCTGTTTCTTATTTGTTGATAATTAATTGCAATACAATAAATCAGGTCGTTTGATGGAACTCCCTACTTAGTGTACCCTTTGATTATAAGGTCTTCTTCATATGATACGACAGAGAAACTCACTGAATTCACAGATAATTCGGTACTGGACTTCCCCAAGGCTTGCATGGCTCTCATGGACAGTGTGATTAGTTTTATTTGTAGTAATTCCCGTGTCTTAATGATGTACATTATAGTACAAAGCTATACATGTATAAAGTGTTTTCATTCCTCTGGTTACAGATATAGAATATGGAAATGTGGAGTATAAATCTTACGATAAATTGAATGTGGATTCAGGAGGGAGACCTCTCAGTGCGGATACAAAGCCACCGAAGTCTGTTAGCTACGGAAACATCCCACACTATTCCAGAACGGCCAGCACAGTAAGTTCCTTACAAAACTATCGCCTCCTATCCGAAAACAAGCACACAAATTTAATGTGACGTCAAATTGTGCATGATACTTGAAATATTTTCATCTGTAGAGATCAGTATGAAGGTCTGCCATCTGTGCTGTGATTCATCACTCTTAAGAAGCTGAAGGCTGACACCCGGTTTCCATAGCTGCATATGTGGAGAGCGGATCTAACCTCAGCAGTAGAGATGATATAGGTTTGAATCATAGCTTTTGTGTATAAACAGGAGACCATGGGGTTTGAAGCGCAGCCTGTGAGATGGCTGCACGTGCCCGTGGGTCACCAGACCGTAACGACGGCAACTCAGACGCAAAATGCCGAAACGCAGACTCCGCTGTTGGTTCGTCACAAAGAGAGTGCAGTGTAGCATTCCGCCCCTTGATTGTGAGTGGTGGCCTCTCTCAGACTCGCGCACGCATTCGCAAGGTACGACATACTTTCCAGCTTTACCCAGTGCTACTGAGTAGCTAACAGATTAGGCAGCTCATTACATTACATTACTTAACTGCTTAATTATTCGATTAATCAATTAAACATTAATATATTTTTCGCTTTAGAGACCATAATTGTTAAGACTGTGGTCTCCTGAGTTGTCTTATATATGAATACCAATATTTCGGAGAAATGTTATGCATCCATTTTCAGAGTTCACGTGAATAGGATAAGACTTCGGTGAGTTTATTTATATAGGCTTCAGGGAAGTATGTCACCCAGAGGAAAAAGGACCCGATTACAGACAATATTATCTCTGAACAGGAATTTTGAGAAAAAATAACAATCTTCAGGGCGAGTTTGTTTTAATAATTTCAGGTTTACTTCCATTTTTATTTTCCTTTAGATTCGACGTGTCTATCAAACGTCAGTTATGTGATACAAATCACAAATTCCAGAAGCTGTGATGCAGATATAGAAAACGTTTTTTGTCACTGATAAACCAAAATTTGGCAATTTTTTATTTTTGTAAAAGACAAATGATCTTCACCTTAAAATGATGCTGTGAATGGTGACGAGATAAGGAGTTAGAAAGAGGTGCCATAGCCTATTTTGTATATTAGTCCGATATTCACCTGAAGAGACAGATAAAAATGACGAAAATCACAACAAGAATATTCAGTAACTCTGAAAAGTAGAAAATTTTTCCTAGAGAGTACAATTCTAGACCTTTCATAATTACACCAAATGCTCCTGCACACTTTGTATTCCCGGTGCAGAAGATCTTGTGAGTCACAGAGCCAGAATAATATTTAATCTTCAATTGACACTATCTGTGAAGAAATGTTAGATTCATATTAAACAAAGAAACATCGAGTCCCAAACGCTATGATAGTAATGAAATTCCGGAAGGATTGGTAAATCCTCGTTTCCAGACAGTTGCAGTCAGTATTACTTTTAGCTTCGTTGGTACTAAGCAAAATATTATTCATTATCTAGGTTATATGTGTTCGAAGCTTTTACATAACTTGTCAATAAAATATTCGACATTTTTATGAAGAGTATTAAGGATATTGCAGATCTAATAATTTGTACTTGCAACAGTTTATTTTCTTCAATAAATACAGTTGTATCCAGCACTACCAAAGGTACGTAAAATGTGTTAGCCCATTGAATTATGTATTTAGAATGTTATGTATATTATACCTTTGTTCAAATAGTCACTCACTTTTCGTAGAACCGATAAGGGCCAAATAAACTTTTCATTTTTAGAAAACAGAGTGTATTAGAACACATAGGTATGGTGAAAAATACGATTTCCAGGTGTGAACGCTTTATCGTTTATATGCAGGTTCACATTCTACATTTCTCCTTTCTTCTTGTCAGTTCCTCGTGGATTACACCCCGAACAGAGAAGGAGAAAACCGGGGTTTAGTCTATGTTAATGTTTTTATGTTGAGAGACGTTACACGTGGTCACAATTTGTGAAATTGGCCGCATTGATTTCCTCTATCTTCATTCAGACGAAGGTGCAATATGTGTATAGAACTGCATCGGCTCCTTGAATTGAATCCCCATTGAAGATCGAAATTCTGGCTGATGAACTCCGTGATATCAGTTCCCTAAGCAATCGCCAAAATAAGACCTTTTTTTTATTGCTAGTGGGGTGGGACTAAGTCCCTTGTACTGCGGCCACTTCAGGCCTATTGTACCAGCCCCAGATGATAGGTGAGGGTGATTGTGGAGCAATTAGTGGAATGAAGATTGGCAGGAGAAACCGAAGTTGTGGAGCAATTGGTGGAATGAAGATTGGCAGGAGAAACCGAAGTACTCGGAGAAAACCCGGCCCAGCGCCACTTTGTCCACCACAAACCCCACTTGAGCAGACCCGGGTTCGAACCCCTACCGCCGCTTTGGGAAGCCAGCGACTAACCGCTTGAACTATGGCGCGGCCTCGATTAGACATAGTTCAGTAATAATAAATAATGTCATAATTTAATCGCAATAAGTATTCCAGCTTCATGTGGGCGCATAGGCAGGCCTTACAGTATGTACATGAAGGCACACTCGAAAGGTGTATGGTAGTTGTTGACTCGTTTTTCAATTAATGTTGAACTGTATTCTTTGTCTGAAGTGTCTTTCATATATCATAAAGTTTTCGGACCCTTTTTCAACTCCCATCTTCAGCTAATTGGTTTACACTCACTGCAGTTTTATTAATTTTATTTTACTATTACTGTTGTGGACAGTGACGTATTATGTCTACTCTAGAGGTTCCAATTTCAATTTTAATCGTCGTCACTGAACACAAAACACAAAAGAAATATTGATGTATTTTTCATTATGAGAACAAATCAACTGAAGATGGAAGTAGCCAATCCCCGAATGACCATGGGCCCACAAAAAATACATAACACAGTAAACAACATTCAACATAACTGTGACACTAGTTCGAAATCTGCTTCAGGAGAAATAATCTGACGATTAAATTAAGCCATATCAATGTTCGTTCTCTTTTAGTATCTGCAGAGTTTAAGCCGTTCAGTGTCTCGCTATCAGAACACCAGCACCAAGCCATGGAGGTCAGACTGGGTGAAGCAGAAGGTGAGTTCAGAGTTCGGAGATGTGTAAGTGTTTTCTATACGCTTGATATTAAGTTTGGTTTACATTCTTATGTGGAAAATTTTCAACGGTAATCTTCAAGCGTATGAACTTTTGGTTATTTGAAAGTGATTTAGTACTTCTATGATATTAATAAGGTGATCAGGCACATAAATATGACAACAAAATACTGCAGGAACTGTTACTCTTAAACCCAAACCACTTGGCCATGATATCAGACCTTGACACACACACACATTGGCACATACCAGAAAGGCTTACCACAACACAACCATAAAGCAAAGCCCACTTTGGTATCGGAAATCGAGACAGGACGAACCAAACTCAATTCTATTAATGCACACAGCCACATAATAAAAATGGGCCGAAACCAAATTTTTTTACATCCAACCCGTAGCACCTCCTAGTCAGAAGAAAGATATCAACCCGGGCAGAAACACCAGGCAGGCTACCAGAAAGTACGAAAGGAAACGAATTGAATCAGTCCCGTGACAAGAGACACGTGACCTTATTTGATTAGGAATGAACGTGGAGGCGGGCAGCACGCAATAAGATCACGGAAAATGATATTCGGACCCCAAAACAGAGCCGTGAATGAATGGATGGCCCGACATTCATGGAAGGAGAAAGGAATGACGCGGAAACTGGGTTCAGAATGGCCAGTCTTCAACTGAACTGGGAACGCAAGAGCCTCAGTTATGAATTGTGACTTGTCCACTATGACATTCTAACTGTGCTAGCGGCACTGTAACTCAGTGGATCCTCGCATTAAATAACTCCACGGGACAGGACTAATGATGGCTCAGTTCTTCAAGAGACTTACAGACTTTTGGAACCCTAAAATTCATGTTTACAAGAATCCATCTGTTCCTTCTTAGCTCAATTAAAATCGGCCAACTTGTGGAATTGCTGGATAAGGTGAAATATGTAACAACTATTCAGCGTATGTAATACTGGGCACAGTTTAATGAAAAAAGGTTGGAACTAGAATTGCTGCTGACAGACATATATTCTGACTTATATTCACCTAACTTACCTCGGTCAAGTTTACCAAGAATCCTACATTTAAGGACACAGTCCGTCAACAATGCAACAAATTGTTCCTCCTTTCTTACACTTTCACTTTCGACACAACATGTTTCGGCCCTTAAATGTCCATCTTAAAGTGTCTTAATATGCTAAAACTACAACACTGCAGTAATATTGGCCATTCGTCACATATGCGACTGAACGCTTCGTGGTTCAAACGTCATACACATAGTCAATTGGTGTGCGCTAAGGTAGCACACGCTGTAATTCGCATACATTATGAGGCGTGCAGTCGCATATGCCACAAATGGACAATATTACTGCAGTGTTGCAGTTTTAGCATATTAAGACACTTTAAGATGGACATTTAAGGGCGAAACATGTGTCGAAAGTGAAAGTGTAAGAAAGGAGGAGCAATTTGTTGCATTGTTGACGGACTGTGTAGTGCAAGAAGCAGTATTAGATTTACCAGCAATCTCACTGTAGCCAGCTGTGATAAAAAAGTAAAGTAAAGCTATCCCTGCACCAAGCCGTGAAGGCCCACAGGGTTGTGAGATGTTGAGGGTCCCACATCATCTAGACAGTCTGCTCAAAGATGGCGGTAAGGTTTTCAGCCGTACTCGCCGGCCGCGCTTTACTCCCCAGGAAAATTATTTAATTAATTCCTGGTACTCATTTCTGTTAGAGGCTGAGTCGACCCCAAGGCCATAGTGCGGCTGGAAAGATTAGGTCAATTGAAAAAAAGAAGATCCAATGATCTAATCTGGACTTGAACCCGCGACCTTCCGGCTTTTAGCATAGGGACTCAACCAATTATGCTGTCGCGTGGCCCGCAGCCAGCTGTGATAAGTTATCTTAATTTTAACAACAACCCTGAAGATTGTCGGGTTCGGCTGCTGTGCGATGAGAACATGGGTCTAAGTGCCGGTTTATTTCAGTGCCCAAATCTGTCAGTCTCGCAAGTTAGAAGAATCGCTTTCAGCCAAAAGTTGATTTATAATAAAGTAAATAAAATGCAGAATACTTGTGACTTGTTGCGCTACCCAAAACTATGTTTAAAATCAGGTATCAAATTGCAATACTTTCTGTGCATCCATGTAGGTGTTAAATTTGCAATCAATTTGACGTCAACTATAGCAGCTGTGTGAACATTGAGCAACTGCCATCGGCGCCCTGGTAACTTACCATAATTCTTACACGTAAACATAAAATAGCCGGTCACGGTAGCCGAGCGGTCTAAGCAATGTACTGTCTTCGCTCGCTTGGAAACCGGGATCGTGGGTTCTGATCTGTTTCCTGTGAGGTATGAACTGAATTCTTATATATTATTCTTATACACTGCCGGTCACGGTAGCCGAGCGGTCTAACGCATGTACTGTCTTCTTCACTCGCTTGGAAACCGGGATCATGGCTTCAAATCCCACTCAGGGCATGGATGTTTAGTTTGTGTGTGGGCGTTTTTCTATGTTTCTATGCCTTGCGACGAGCTGATCACCCGCCCAAGGAGTCCTACCGAATGTGTAAGATCTAGAAAAGCCGAAGTGAACGGAGAAGTTCATGGAGGTAGGCCTAGGCCCACTGGGGCTGAAGTGCCAAGGAAAAAAAAAACATAAAATAATTTAAAGCTTCAATATTTATATAATCTTCTTTCTTTGCTAGTCACAATTGAGTTTCCAACAATTATTCCTAATTCGAAATTTGCCCTTAGAGACATTAGACAAAAACCTCCTTAAAAGAATTTTCAGTATAATTTTCGGTCAGCTCTCTTTAATTTTATTACACCAGAAAATTAACTCAGCAGAAACTGCAGCAGTGACTGATTTTGTCACATCTGGTACAGTACATTCCATTAAAAATGGCCCTATGACAGCAAGTAGTAGCATTCCAGTGCCTGTCTCCTAGAATTTTATTGAAAGAAAAAATTAATTTAAAACATGCGATTTAACTTGATATTTAGGTCAATAAGTCGCTGGCAATGCAATAATTTCTACAGTATTTCTAGGCACCCCTTAAGCAACAACATTGTTTTATAAGCAGCTGCACAAAGAATTACCTTGAATATTATCAGACTTTTCTCACTTACATCAAATGAAGAATGTCTGTTCTGTCCCGTCTGACATTTCATCTGTCTTCTTTTGTCTAAAAGGAAATTGAATGTCGTTGAAAGGCAGTGAGTTTTTTCTTTGCTTTAACGAAATTGAAACCTAAAAAAAATATGAGATGTTCAAATACAGTTTTACATCGCCCTGCAGTTTCTCTCTCCAGATCCCAGAAGATCTGCATTGCATTTAGTTTTCCAGCACGTGCCACTTTCATTTCATTCCAGCATTTCTGTTCCCAGATGCTCTAAAATTCGCCTGTCATGTAAAGTGATGCTAATTGACATGAAACGAAGTCACCACGGAATTGAATTTAGCTCAGTGTTCACTGTAACAAAGAACTAATTTATATCAGTGTGTTAATTGATGGTGACTGCAGTTAATTCATAGAAGACTGTTGTATGATCTTCACAAATTGATGCATTTCCTTCCTCTATGTCTGACACACCAGATTAAGTAGAAACAGTCTCTCACTACGAGCTCTTTCCATAGTGGCTTATATCATCCTCTCAAAATTTGTGACCAAGCCTTCATTAATTACACAATACAAATACTATGCATATTTGACAATGTCCATTCTTTGAGGTATATTTCATATATCGGTACACGAATTTTTTGATTCTACCTTATTTCGATCGGGGCACGCGGTAGCATAGTGATTGAGGTGCTACGCTACAAGCCGGAAGGTCGCGGGCTCAAATCCCGATGAGGTCATTCATGCTTCCAGCCGCACTAGGCCCTGGGGTTTACTCAGCCTCTAACAGAAATGAGTACCAGGAATTAAATAATAATTTTCCTGGGGAGTAAAGCGCGGCCGGCGCGTAAGGCTGACAACCTTACCGCCATCTGTGATCCGATTGTCTAGATAATGTGGGATCTTCAACGTCTCACAACCCTCTGGGCCTTCACGGGATAGTTTTACTTTTACCTTATTTTACCTTTTATTTCGATATTCAGGTGACAGTATTGTATTGACACAAGTATTGTTGTTGACGTCATTATAGCTGTTGATGGCAGATGCGTGGCTCTGACATCTGACTGCTCCTAAGTGATTTGTGTCCAGATTTAAGTCAAACCCTGCGATTCAGCTGTCAGCCCTCCTGTTTCGCATTCTGGAGGTGTAAGTTTCAGCTCTTGATCCGCCGGCCGGCATTCCTAGTTGAGGTTTCTCGTGGCTTTCTCCAGTTTCTCCAAGCATATTCCGAAATAGTATACAAGATTAATCCAAGATAACTTTCTTCGACATCTTTTCCGGTTCTCTATTCAGTAATCATCCTGTGATTTCACGGTGCAGATCTGAGCTACTTAGAGCGTAGTTACCTAACAAATACATTATATAAATGAATGTTTAACTTTCTGTATCCAGCGACTTCAGAATTCCATTCTCTTTCCTACCACTATTTCCTTTAATAAACGAAATGTCAGAGGTATATATCAGCACAATGATAGCCACATGAATACGGGCACTGCCAGAGTTTCAAAATATGCTGTAATGTGCAAGGTGGTTCAGGTATGAAACACATGATTTTGGAAACTTCAGCCGGAACCCTGATTATGCTGACTGGGAATTTTGTGGTACTTCTCGGTCCCTCAAGGCAAACACTGGCCACTGTCTGAATCTAATCCACGACCGTTTCCTTCCACACCCCTTCCAATTAATTATTCACTATCAACTAATCATTTGACACCACATATACTTACTTATTTACAGCATCGTTAAATAAGTTATAAATAAATAATTAGTAGAATTATCAGCGTTAAATAGGTGGATACATTAAGTATCACACAAGGTGACTGCAAAATAGCAATAATGGCCATGACTCCTCTCCCACGCTTCAAAACCCAGTTCGACAA